CCCCCCTGCCCCGCCAGCCCCGCCTGGACCCCCAACCTCACCAACCCCCCCGCCCTACACCTCAGGCCCTCACGCACCTCCCCTGCCCCCATGCACCTCTGACCTGGCTTCCTGTGGGGGGCCCAGGCCGGCACCCACACTCATTCCCCTGGTAAAGTGGGGTGCGCACTGCCCCCCACAGGCCCCTGTGCGGCAGCTGACCTCTGCTGAGGCCCAGCGGGCAGCCTGACCCCAAACTCTGCCCACACAGACTTTGGCTCCTACGTGGGCTGCTGTCACCGAGCAGGGACCACAGCGGGCCGGCTTCCAGCCCTGGCTCTCGATGGGGTCCCCAGGCAGCACCCCACTTGCCTGAGCCAGCCCCTGGCATGGTGGGCAGAACTCCCTGGTCGTCAGAAGGGACTTCTGGGTTTTTTGAGGCCCACTGGCCCTCCCAGCGCATGCTCCCCCCCTCGTGCCTGGAGAACCCCCGGCCCTGCAGTGTGGACTGACGGCCCCCTGTGCCCTGTACCCCACGGCCAGGTGGGGCAGGCCACCCACAGCAGCTTGCACCCCAAGACTGAGCACCTTGCACAACGAGACCCCAGCCAACCCTCCTGCAAAGCCAGGGCTCCGGCCTCACCTCTCTGGCCTCCCCTCCCCTCCGGCCTTGCCTCTCCTCTGGCCTCCTCTCTCCAGCCTGGGGGGGCGGGGAGGAGCAGTGAAGGCAGAGACTGCACCCCAGACTTGGGCCCAGCCTCTTGGACAACATCTTGGTTTTCCCGGCCAGAGCTGAGGCAGCTGTGGGTCAACGCGGGAACCCCTCCCCCTCCCCCACGCTCAAGGATGGACTTCCAGAGGCCCAGCAGGAGGGAGGCCGGAGGCCTAGAGGCTGCTGTCTGTGGGGGAGGCTGCCCCCTGCTGGTCACCGTGGGCCAGTCAAGGCTGAATGGCAGGAGGGCGGGCGGGAGCGCCTCATAGGGCACTGGGGGGCTGGGGGAGACTGAGGCAGGGGCCCAAGCACTTCCTGGATACCGCGTGGAGCCCTTCCCATGTCCACGCGCTGCTGAGCTGCCCCCAGCCGCAGGTGAGCCCCACACACCTCAGGGACCGCCGCCTAAAGGCAGAGTGGGAGGCCCAGGCACTTGGGGGGCTATAGTGTGAAGCCTGGGTGCTTCCCTGAGCGCGTGGGGAGCCCCAAGCTGGGAAGCTGCCCACGTGGGCACTCCTGGGGAGGAGGCTGGGTGACAGGAGGCAGGTAAGTGGGGCCGTGGGGCTCCATTCACGCCCCCTCCCAGTGCCCACGTGTGCCCAGAGGGCCCTGGCGCTGTGCAAAGACCCTCACTGCAGCTGGCATTCACAGCACGGCCATCCACGCGGGCAGCAGAGCTGACACCGGAAGCTTCTTCTGAACCAAAATGATGTAACAAGACGTGCAAGGAGCAGGGCATTAATAGCTCACATCTGTAGTCTCAGGAGGCTGAGATCTGAGGATTGAAGTTTGAGGCCAACCCACGTAGACAATCCATGAGACTTACCTGTGGAGACTTACCTCCAGCAAAAAGCTAGAAGTAGAAGTGTGGCTCATATGGGAGAGCACCAGCCTTGAACAAAAAAAGCCAAGCAAAAGTTCAAGCCCCAGTACACTCTCTCTCTCTCACACACACACACACACCATGAAAGGACCCCCCTTTCCTTATTTTCTAAAAACCAGAGGAGTGGGGCGGGGGCTCCCCTAGTCTCATGGTAGAGATAGGTGGGACCCCAGTTCATCTTGGGAGCGCTGCCGCCAGCCAGGCCCACGTGTTTCTGCTGTGTCATCACGCACGCTCCCGTAGTGAGGTGCTGCTTTGCGGACACGTGGGGGGGGGCGCCGGGGCCTCCTGGGCTGGACCTGGCCGCAGAACGCAGCAGGTGACCCTCACCTGATTTGAGAGTGACCACAGGACACAGATGCGGGGAGAGCCAGCTGGGACCAAGGCGGCGCCGGGCTATGCAAGGGGCCCTGGACCACCGAACATCGCCCTGCTGGGCCTGGCTTGACGGCTGGGCTGTGGGATGCCCGGGATGTCTCCTGGCACCCGGCCTTCCCTGCTTGCCTGGAGAGCAGCGCAGAGCCGGGGCGGGCTCCAGGCCGGCTCCGTGGGCATGGCCGGGGCCCGCCTCTGAGAAGGAAGCCTGGAGCCCGGGGTGAAGGACAGAACGGACTGCCCCTCCCCCACGCGTGCTCAGAGGAAGACGTGTGAACAGGGCGGAAGTGAAGCTCCAGGCCTGCCTCACCCTGGTGCCCCTCACCACCACCCACCTGCGTCCACGAGGCCTCCGGCTGGCTGGTCAGAGCGAGGCCGTCGGCAGCCTGGGCACCACGGTCACCACGAGGACTGGGCACGCAGGGACAGCTCTGGGTGCAGCCGGAGATCCGCGAGCTGGCCAGCAGCACCAACATGGACTGCCACCACATGTGGACAGAGGGGACGCGGCCCGGGCACGGAGGGCAGGGGTGTGCGGGAGGCTGGGGCGTGGCCTGGCGGGGCGGGTGCTGCCGGGCACCGGCGGAGCCCGGGATGGGGAGGTGACACAGGGCTTTGAGCAAGTGCTGGCTGCCTGCTTGGTCTGTCTCCATCTCCATGTGTGTGAAGGCCCAGACTCGGAGGCCCAGCTCTGAGACTCTGCAAACCAGAGAAGCAAGGTCCTGCCTCTGGCCTCTGGGTGGCCGAGGGGCCGGGGAGGGGGAGAAGCCCCGAGGGCCGGTGTGGCACTCACTGCTGCGGGCAGACATCACACGTGGCTGTGTGCTCTTGGTGATGTATGCGTTCCTGAACCCAATAAAGTCTTGTGACCTGGCCTCCTCTGCCTCTAACCCTGACCCCATGCCACGTGATGGGGGAGGGGGGAAGGAGGGGGGCAGGGGGTGGTGAGCCACAGGTGTTCTAGGATTGCCCCTGGGAGGCCAGCTCAATAGGTGTGTGACCGGTCTGGTCTGACTCATTGGGGCCAGCTCCACAGATAGGAGTGCAACTCGTGACCTGGGGGGGGGGTCATGGCCAAGGCTACGTGGCTATCGTCTCCTGGGCCTGGCCTTCACCTGTGGCCCCAGGAATGCGCTGCCTGTGCGCCAGGCCTCTCAGGCTGGAACTGGAGGTCTGGAACATGGAGGCTCTTTTTCTTCTTTTTTGTGGGGAGGCCAGTACTTTTTTTTTAAACTTGGGGCCTGTCCCTTAGCTTATGTGCACAAGCCTAGCACTCTACCATTCCAGCCACAGCTCTTCTGGCTTTGGGGCGGTTCATTGGAGATAAGAGTCTCATGGACTTTCCTGCCTGGGCTGGCTTTGAACTGCGATCCTCACATCTCGGCCTCCTGAGTAGCTGGGATTACAGGCGTGGGCACTGGTGCCACTTAAACTTCTTTATTAAGACCCAGTAGCCCCTTTATTAGGAATAGTCTCTCCTGACTACATAAAACAATGTGAGGCTTACAGGCAAACAAGGTCCTGAGTTATTTAACAAACTCCAGTGTTTTCGAAGGATGGTGGGGCCCTTGTGGGAAGAACAGGGGTGGGGTGCCGGTGGGGAGCCTTCACACCTCACACCTGCCAGGGCCAAGCCCCCCCACAAACAGACCTGGGGACCTGCTGGCTGGGGCAGCTCACGTTGGGCCACAGAGCTGAAGCCGGGGACGGGAGGGACGGGGGGACGGGGGGACGGACCCCTGGGCTGGTCCATGGCCTCTGCCACCGCCTCCCTGCGGGGCCACGCCCCCTTGCCAGCCCCCCTCCTGCCATTGCCCTCTGGGTGCCCACGCCCCAGCGGTGGCTGCAGCTTGCAGGCTCCGTGTCTGTCTTCCCGGGCGGACGGGGCCTGGGCCCTGGCCAGCGTGACTGTCCAGCCCCAGAGGCCTCCCAAGACACCACCGGGAGAAATGAGGCAGGATGGCTTCCCAAGGAACCTTCCAGAAAACCGCCCCTTCCTGAAGGCCACTTCCCACTCAGCAAGTGTCCCTGCTTTGCCTGGCCACGAACTCCTGGCGCCTGGCTGCTCCTCCTGCACCCGGACGCCAGCCCTCGCCTCGTAGCTGCCAGCGGGGACCCCAGCTTGGCCCAAAGTGGCCCGGAGGTCACCCAGCCCCTCGGGTGCAGACACCCGGACTCAAAGGGGACAGGGATGGGGGGGGCACTGGGAAGCCCCCCGCTGCCACTGTGCTGGGCGCCCTTCAGCCCTGTGACAAACCCGAACTGCGGGCCTGGCCCCGGGCAGCTGCAAGGGGGGAGCACTGGGGCCACAGGCCTGTGAGGCCCTGCCCCCATCCCCCTAGAAGCGGTGGGGGGGGGGGCTTGGCCTGCCCTAAAGCTGCAGAGCAGGCAGGACACCGAAAAAGGGGGACCTGTGAGGCCCTCGGGCAGCAGGTGTGGATGGTGAGGAGTCTGCTGGGGGGGGGGCGCCCACACAGGCCGCATTGCAGGGGGGGACACGCTTCCACCCAGGCACTTGAGGGGCTGCGTCCACAGCTCCCAGCTAATGATGCCACCGCTCTTGTCCAAAGGGCAGCATCCACCCCTGGCGTCACCCCACATCCGGTCTGCCTGTGTCCATCCGCACGTCCTCCTTCACCGCCAGCCTCCCCTAAAGGAATCGCAGGCCCAGGAATGTGAAGCAATCAGGCAGCCCCGGGGCCAGGATGCCCCGTGGCCTATATAACACCCAGGGCAGCCGGGAGCCGCGCATCTGCCACAAAGACTGAGAAGCTCTGCCCGGTCGACGCCAGGCCGCGGATCAGCGGGGTGAGTACAGCCGGGTGCAGGCGGGCAAAGCACGCAGAAGGGCTCAAACTCCGAGACTCATCTATGCACAGCACAGGCCGCCCGAGCCACTGCCAGCCAGGCCCAGCCCTGGGCTTTGCCTGCGGCCTCCTGGATAGCGGGGCCTGATGACCCAGTCTGTGCTGAATCCCAATTCTCAGAGCTCAAGGACCCCCAACTTCTATCCATGCCCTGGAAGGGTAGATGACCCTCCAAAAGGGAGAGAGGCCACTTCTGGTGCCAGGGTCCCAGGGCTCGGACCTGGAGTCTTAGCTACTCAGGAGGCTGAGAGGTGAGGTTCTCAGTTCGAGGTCATGAGACTCTTACTTCCAATTCACCAGCAAAAATGCCAGAAGTGGAGCTGGGATTCAAGTGATAGTCAGCTTTAGAGTGACAAATCTAAGGGACCGTGTCCAGACCCCAGTGCCAGCGCCCCACCCCCAAAGAAGTCCTTTTTCACAGATGCAGAGGCCAGGGCCATGCTCTGTGTAGGGACAGCAGAGACGCGGCCCCCAGCACCGCCCAGGGACAGCCCCCCACTCCACAGCCCTGCGGAAGGAGCCTCGCGGGCAGCAGCCCCAGGGACCCGGAGCCCAGCCGGAGAGCGAGGCCCTTTTGTTGTTTTCTGAGGCTTTGTGACTGTGTTCGCTTCTTTGAAATGTTTTCAAGGGAGCCCTTTCTGGAAAGAGCCTTGGGGAATTTCTGGAAGGCGTGCTTGAATCCAGCTTCACTTGAATCCAGCTTCTTGCAGAGGACCGGAGGGGCCTGCTCACTCACGGTATTTATTACCCAGGACGGGGCGGGGGCTGCCAAGCAGGCCAGCAGCCCCTGATTCTGCCCCATCTGCCGTCCTCGCAGGGGCCCAGGGCCGCGGCTGAGGGAGGGCCCGCCAGTCTGTTCCCAGCACCGCTGCACTGCGCCTTGAGCTCAGCTCCCTGCCCGCGGCAGTGCCCGCAGCGCCCGGGCGGCCAGGGCGCAGGCATCGTGCTCGGAACCACCTACCCCCACACCTGCCCCCGCTCCTCGCTTCTCCCCTGGTGGCCAGGACCACTAAACCCATCTCTGGATATCAGGAGAAGCTTCTTAAGGCGGTGGCGCGTCCCCGCTAACCGGCTTAGCCGAATCCATTCGTTATCCGGAATACACAGACTGACTGACAGGTCTCCCGGCCCGCCCACGGCTCACACGACAGGGCCCCGGGGGTCGATAATTCTAATAAGAGGAGAAAAGAGCTCGGGTGTCCCAAGTTCTCTGGGGGTCACTGGGACGCTGCCGGGAGCTGTCCAGGAGCCGGGGGATCACAGACCCGACTGGCGAGCAGCAGGGGCTGCAGGAGATACAGGCTGCCTAATTGGTGCAGCCAGCTCCCCAGCCTGCCAACAGAGGCCTGAGCCGCACGCTCCCGCCTGTCATCCTAGCTGCTCAGGAGGTTGAGATCTGAGGATCACAGTTCAAAGCCAACCTGGGCAGAAAAGTCCGAGAGACTCTTATCTCCAATAAACCACTAGAAAACCAGAAGTGGCGCTGTGGCTCAAGCAGTAGAGTGCTTGCCTTGAGCTGAAGAGCTGAGGGACAGCGCCCAGGTCCAGAGTTCAAGCCCCACGACCAGTAAAAAGAAAAAAGAAAAGAAAAAGGGCTGTGTCCAAGGCAGCCTGGTGGCTGCCAGGCCCTGGGACGGCGGTGGACAGGGACTGAGGGACAGCTAGACTTGGGGCCTGCGTCTTACTCCTTCCTCTCTTCTCTCTGGTCAGATGCGGGGTCCTTGCTTCCTGACCTTCCTCCTCCTCCTGGCGCTGGGCACCTGCTTTCCTCGGCTGAGTGAAAGGAAGCCTCCAGGCGCTGCCGGAGCCGAGCTGGCCTGGGCCTCCCTGGCCGAGGCCCACGGGCCTGGCCTGGTGTGGGCAGACTCCCAGCGGCCATTGCCACGCCAGCCACGGGCCTTGCTCCGGGTGGCCAAGGATACACAGGCATCTGGCAGAGAGCACGCTGGCTTACGCCTGAGGAGGCAGTCTGAAGCAGAGGCCGGCGGCTTCCCGCCCGAGGCCGGTGAGAAGACCAGCACCCTCTTAGGGAACCTGGCGCAGGAGCTCAACAAACTCAGCAGGAAGAAAGGCGGCTTCAACTTCCGCTTCGGCCGGCGGTGAAGCGGCCGGGCGGCCGGGAGGGACTGCTTCGGGACCAGCCCTCGCCCTGTCCACGCCTGGCACCAACTCCGTCTTCTCCAGCCTCAAGGCCGAGCGCCCAGGACATCGATGTGCTGAGCTCTCGGCCTAGGACAGGCTGGCTGTGCTTGCTTTTGATCTCCAACTTCACTGAAGCAAAAACAAAGAAAACTTCTAGTTACTCAGGAGACTGGGATCGGAGAGCCACAGCTCAAAGCCAGCCCAGGCAGAAAAGGCTGTGACTCATCAACAAGCCAGGAAAAAGTCAGGAGTGGAGCTGTGGCTCAAGTGGTAGAGTGCTAGCCTTTTCTGAGAAGCTATTAGAGGACAGCGCCCAGGTACACACACACACACACACACACACACACACACACACACACATGAGACACTGCTGTACAGCTCCAGCCCAGCAACAAAGGCTGCTCGCCGCCTGTCTCAGCCCCTTCTTCCCGTGGCCCGGCCGCCGGCCCCCGGGGCACGCAGCAAAGCTGTGGCTGGGCCGCGGCTAGGCAGAGCCGGTTGTGCGGCTCCGGTCCAAGGCAGGTTGTCTATGATTGCTGTGCAGTTATCAAAGTTCTGTTTCCATGGGGACAATGGGAGCTGACAGGCAAAGGATTGCTGCAAACGAGAAAGTTCCACCCGGTTCAGAGTGTGGCTCTGAAATTCAACATGAAGGCCCACAACTAAACAAGCCCTCACCATCACCACACACACACACACACACACACACACACTAAAACAGAATGCAACAAACAAACCAACCCAAAGCCCCACTCTTCCTCTCTAGCCTGTTTGTCAGGAAAGCCTGGCGTTGGCGTGGTGCTGCCCTTCGGGCCGGCCATCCACCCTCTGGTGGCCGTGGCTCCGGCTTTCTCGGCAGAGTCCCCCGGGGCACTAATGAGGAGGGAAGGTGTTTTTGCTTCAGCGAGGCTGCATTGCAAATGCTCAAACTATGAATGTGTTGGAAATAAAAGTTGTAACAACTGCAGAACTGTAATGGGATGCTGGCCTCTTCTCTCCAGGTCCTCTGGGCCCTAGAAACTTCCTTTTCTTGAGTTGTTGGAGTGCCTTTGCCTCGGGGAGATTGGAATCGTGCTAGCTGTGCCCGCGCACCTTCCTCCCGTCCCCTTAATTGGCATCCGGGCCGAGAAACACGGGGATGCTGCGCGCTTCTTCCGTCTCATCTGCCCCTTTCCTGGTTTCCTCAGAGTAAAGAGCACCAGGAACATGACGGCTTCACCTTGGGGGGGGGGAAGCCCGCAGCACCCCTTTAAACACAGCTGTGGCACCCCAGGCCCCGTCAGACACGCCAGTCAGAAGCTGCTCTCTCCGGGGCTGGCTGCCACTGCTGAGATGAGGACTTATATTGATGTTACCATAGCAACATCTCCCCGCCTCCTCTCCCGCGGTGGCTTGCCCCTGCTCACAATTGAATAATTTTCCATTGAGCTGTCACCATTAATTGGTGGATTTTTATTAGCCTTTTAGAATCACACTGGGCCCGGCCCAGCTTGGTACCTGGGCGCGTTTCGGTGTTTTCCGTTCTATTAGTGACTTACATTCCCCAGTAGCAGCTCTCAGTCCTCAGCAGCCAGAAAGTCACTTCATGAAGGGTGACAGAGAGGAACCCGAGGCAGGCTGGCCGGAAGGGGCAAGGGCGTGGGGGTGGCACACCTGGCCGTGCAGCATACCGCCTGCCTGCCTCCTGCCTCCCTCCCTCCCTTTTCCTTCCCTCCTTCTCTTCTCCTTTTTTTTTGTTGGTGGGCTTGAACTCTGGGCCTGGGCGCTGTCCCTCAGCTCTTCAGCTCAAGGCCAGCGCTCTACCACTTGAGCCACAGCACCACCTCTGGCTTTTTCTGCTTATGTGGTGCTGAGGAATCGAACCCAGGGCCCCACGCATGCAAGGCAAGCACTCTACCACTGAGCCACCTTCCCAGCACCCCTCCTTTCCTTCCTTTCTCTCTCCTTCCTTCCTTTTTCTTTTTGTTGGTCATGGGGCTTGAACTCTGGGCTTGGGTGCTGTCCCTGCACTCAAGGCAAGCACTCTACCACTTGAGCCACAGCGCCACTTTTGGTTTTCTACTGGTTTATTGGAGACAAGCGTCTCATGGACTTTTCTGCCTGGGCTGGCTTTGAACCATGATCCTCAGATCTCAGCCGCCTGAGTAGCTAGGATGACAGGAGTGAGCCACTAGTGCCTGGCTCCTCCCTCCCTTTTTCTAGGTGCCAGTAAAACTTGAACTCAGAGCCTGGGCACTCACAGTCCATTAGCTTTTTTACTCAAGGCTGGCATTCTACCACTTGAGCCACAGTTCCACTTTCTTCTTTTTTCTTTTCTGCTGGGTACTTGGAGGTAAGGCTCACAGACTTTTCTGCCTGAGCTGTCTTTGAACCGGGATCCTCAGAGCTCAGCTTCCTGGGATTACTGATGTGCGCCCCTGGCCCCGGCTTCCTTGGGTGCTGGTTTGTGACAGGAACTGTCTACTGTCACCATTTCTAAGAACCCGGAGGGCAGCTGCGCCCTGCGAGCGTCTCGCACAGCTCACGCTCTACGTGGGCAAGTCCTGTCTGGGCACAGCTCACCCTCCGCGTGGGCACGTCCTGTCTGGGCACAGCTCACGCTCCGCGTGGGCAGGTCCTGTCTGGGCACAGCTCACGCTCCGCGTGGGCACGTCCTGT